GTTTTTGAGGTGAAAAATAAATTTACACTGCTATATAAGCTTTACACAGACTACTTTTCATTGTGTCAAAGCGATGTTTCTTCAGTGTTGTTCAATTAAACATTATAATGACATCTCTGCAGAAATGTGAGGGGTGTACTCACTTTTTGTGACATACTGTATGTGTATTGACTGGGGTGATGGAGGTAAAGTGTGGCTGATCAATGTGGCTCTAGAGAGATTAGAGAAATCCAGACTGTAAAGGAGAGACTGTGTTCCTGTAATCAACAATATGGAGTGGTTATTTACCTCAAAGGAAGACGTTCAACACTGACACAGAGAGATGGATATTAATGTTTATCAATGCTGTTTCTGCCGCTAACTTTATCAAAAGGGGTGAAAACTAAACTTCAAGCAACACTTAAAAACAAGCTAATAATAACAATTAGTGCAAAAAGAAATAATAAAAAAAAAGATTAACCCTCTTTGAGTTAGAGTCCTTAAAAGGACTGTGGTAGTACCTACATAGGTCTGTCTGTGTTTTACGACAGCACACACACAGATAATAATGGTCTGTTTTTGTCCTTGTCATAACCATTTTATACTTTGAGTAAAAGGAATGTTTTGATTATAAAAAAAACCCATAATGGATGGAAAGATGAAGGGCATGAGAATAATGTGTGTGTGTGTGTGTGGGGGGGGGGGGCAGTATGAGAGGAGGCAAAAAATATAATACTGTAGTAATTCAGGAAACTGGTTGTTAGTGATTATGATTTTGGGAAAAAGTTTGATTTAGTGTTTCTTTTCCTCTCTTGAGAAGGTTGAACAAATACAATGAACATTGATTATTGATTAATTATTATCAGTTTTTTTCAGATCCTTTATCCTGTTTATTATTTATATTGCTAGTTATTTTTTACTCAGTATATTTCAAATAAACTTTCCAATAGATTTCCAATAGAATAGAATAGAATAGAGACTCAGTCTACATACAGAAAACAATGCTGGTCAACACTAGTTCGTAAAATAGCACCAAGTAAAAAAGTTACACACTTGTATATATTGCACTTTTTTTAAAGTATGTTTTATCAAATATGAAGAAGTGTGAAGATGACACCAAAGACAATACCACAAATATTTATTTAACCTGCATGGGTTAATACAGAAATTCTGTTATTTTTTCTGTTTGTATTTGTACGCTGATGGTAATGAATTTGTGTTTTGTTTATACAGTTTTTCCCCAAACTTTATAATAAGGCCAGGCTTTATGTAGAACAACTGATAATTGTTGTTTTTCAAAGATTAGTTACACAGTCACTGTAACTAACTAGTGACTCTTTGATGTGACTGTGTGTGTCCAGGGGCCCCGGACCCCACGGCGGGGGCCAGTGTGGACGACGAGAACTGCTGGCACCTGGACGAGGAGCAAGTTCAAAAACAAGTCAAGCTTTTTCTCTCGCAGGGAGGATACCACAGCTCGGGCAAGCAGATCAACCTGCTCTTCAGCAAGGTGAAGAGAAAAAAAAAATCAATTCATGCACTGTACAGGACATAACAGCACACATACAAAACATACCAATCATGACCGCCTCAGTCACAGGCAAAGGGTGTCTATGTATTTTTTACCTCTTGGCAAGATCTTGGAGTAAAGGAATTTCTGTAAAAAAAAAAAAAAAAACAACAACAAATCTTTCATTCAGAGTGATACATGCAAAAAAAGCACATGAGAGCTGTGCTGTCTTAAAAGTTTGAGATAAATACTGTCATTTCCGGTCTGTAAGCCACTACTTTTTACACACGCTTAAACAATGATGCGGCTAATTTATGGATTTTTACGGGCTAACGAAGTTCATACCACTAGCGATCAATGACTTTTCTGGTAGGCTACTGTGTTATACTAGTAGCGTATGTCTGTCTGTGAATGGCTGTGTGCGTATGTGTGTACGAGTGAGAGAACGGTAGTGAGTTGAGAGGAGTTTGAGCCCTGTCATGTTGAAGCATGAGTTGGTTATACAGGAGCTGTTAAAATGCTGTTTATGTTCTGTTGTGCTCGGTGTGGCTGATAATAAAGACCCCAACTTCCCTATTTCTGTTTACCTCTGATGCGGACAAGCACAAAGTTAAGGGAGTTAGTGTTGGTGCCGAAAATTACGTTATTCAGTCACCGCTATTGTCATCTAACTGCCACAGATAGAATGACCTGAAAAGAACCACACCTGACAAAGTTGTAAGTTTTTCTTGCTGCAAGGGGAAGCAGAGAGACCAACAGCTTCGCAGAGTTGGCTCACCTAAGTCCCAAAGTGTATGAGGACTGCAGCTCCTTTTATTGAGAAAGTTACATAAGTACTGAGCAGTTGTTTTTTCATTACGTATATACTCTATGGGCAAAGTTCACACGATTCACATAAATGATGAGGAACAGACTTCATCCTTTGTGGAGCACATCGTATAACATTTCTAGGAGTACGTACAGGACATTTCCTGTGCAGAGCAAAGTCTTCAACAAAGGAGTACCTGTTCCTGACAAGCAGATTATGATTTAACACACTTTGATTTAACACACTTTGATAACTAACTATAAGTTCTATTTACAGTTAGCCCCGGTGCTAATGTTAGCTTCAGCCTTGGAGCAGCTAACTTATTCTCCCCTGTGCATTCCAACTACAGTCAAGACACCAAAGGCAATCCCAAGCACACACACTCATTGCCCCAAACATTCAAAGAGAATTTCTCCTAAATTCTCTTCACACTAACTCTCCAGACGACTTCCTGTTGTTCCAAAACACCTCTACTCCCTGGGAACAATGGGAAGCCTCCCAATCCACATCCTTACAGGGAACCCCGAATCCGTCCACTCCTTTGATTTACATAACCCCCTGTTGTTTGCTAGACCTCAAGGCTCCGTCCACTTCTTTTGTGATAACATCTACTTAGTGACAAAAGGTTCATAAACATGTCCTCCAATACTGCTGAATCATGGAGCAGCGCCACATAGTGGGGACTGCAGGCACAACCATGATACAATAACAATAATATGATTGGCCACAAGAGGCCTAACCTCTGTCTTCCATTGGCCTACAACATTTAAACACACACCCGGGAAGTCGAAAACCACTCCCCCACACAGGTATATAAGCGTAAACCACTAATGATATGTTGGAAGTTATTCTTGGAATTTTTAGTTCTTGGATTTGCGTTATAACAACTATTGTACGAGATTTCCTTGAATACTTCTCCAGTCGTTTTATTTTGCTCTTGGACCTGTTTGTTGGCGTTTTGTCATTAAACAAATCGACCATCTACCGGCTGTTTCATTCCTTTCCTGAGACTACCTACGAGGTGATTTCTTCAATTTTGGTGCTGTGACTACGGGGAGAAGAAATCCTCCAATTGGTGTCGTGCTCACGAACGAAGAAGGGCCAAATCTTTCAACTGGTGCCGTGACCCGGCTCTCGTCTTCAGAAGTGGATCATTCATCTTAAGCAGTGAGTTTTTTTTCCATTTCTGGTGCGCAGATCAAAGAACCTGAAAGTTATTGTTAAAAGTGAGTATTCAGGAAGGTTTGAATATAATTTGATCCCACATTGATTTGCTGCAAACCGGAGCTTATATCATTGTGTGTATTTGTGTCCAACACTGTAGCTTTTAACTTTGCATATTAAAACTATGTGACACAGGTGTAACAACTGGTTAAGTGACAGCGTTGTAATTCCAGTTAGAAGCCTGTGTGACTTGGTAATAATTGTGGCAGAAGCTGTAATCCCTTGCACAATTTAGACAGTCAGGCAGTAGGGCACCAAAGGAAGAGTCACCTCTCTCTTTGAGAAAGCTCATCCATAGAAACAGGAAGAAGAAGGTTAAAAAGCAAACTTCTATTGAAACAGTTGAGGAGGACTCAGACACCCCTGATGTGGCTCCTCTCTTAGAGTATGATAATCAAGTAGTGGCTCAACAGGAAGCACCTGCAGAACTAGCTGTAAACCAGCTTAAAGTTCCTGCTAGAAAGATCTCTTTCAGGGATTGAAATGCAAATGTTTGTGGATGAATGTGTACTGCCGTGCTTCTCTTGTGTTTGTTACAGACAAAATCACAAGGAGGCAATAGGATATGAGATGAGATCAATACCTGCCAGGTGCACTAGGCGTATGACGACAATCTCAATGATGATGATGATGATAATGATAACCGCCATCTTGCAAGCCCTCTCCACCTGCGACAAGATCACGCCGCACACAAAGACAACAAGTTCATCGCTGCCACACACGCATATGTTTGCACCAGAGGAAAACACCCATGCTGGGTGTGCGGACTACTGCCAATGTTTTTTCATCCACAACCCTCCGGGCAGGTGGAAAGGATGACATGGACAATAAAGGAGAGAATTGCAACAAAAGGTTGCCATATTCACAGCTTGCAGAGCAAGTGTCACTGTCTGGTCATCAGGGCGGTAGGGGAATTTTTCCCACTGGGTTTCACCCCTACTTGTGAATAAGGAACATGTTTACAAAAGTACAAAACCACTATACGATCAATGATGTTGATGATCATTAATGTTTGGTTTATGATCAGATGGGGGAATTGTTAGATTTTAGTAGTTTTCACATTTGGTTTGAGTCTGAAAGCAGGTAGCTGCTAAGACACCAAAGGCATTTCCAAGTATATAGCCCCACACATTCAAAGAGAATTTCTCCTAAATTCTCTCCACACTAACTCTCCAGATGACTTCCTTGTTCCAAAACACCTCTACTCCCTGGGAGTAGTGTTCAACTGAGTCGTGAACCGGATTGATTATACCAATAATCTTTCAACTGGTGCCATGACCAAGATCGAAACTTAGCAAGAATCTTTCAGGAGAACAAAATAGTTGCAAGTTGCAAGTTTCTGATTGTCCCTGAATTTTTAAGTCTGTCAGGAAACTTTCTCTGTTAGATAGGACTGTAAAAAATGCTGTTAGTTCATACCCCAGTTTCCTAACACACAAAAGAATTCAAATAAAGATCAAATAAAGGTCTGATCAAATAAAGAATCAAATAAGAGATCTCAAGTTTTAAAAGTTTTACTTGCAGCAAGGAGTGCAGAACAATGGTTACATTCAGAACTGCACTGAGGAACTCCTCAGTGCTCAAAGCTTAAATACAGTTTTTTTTACATACACATCAATGGTCAGCCATTAACCCTTAACCCTTTACAGCCACGTGGTGTTCACGCGCAACTTCTGAGCGCTGATTGGCAAAAGCTGCTTCAAACAAAGATTCTCCACCAATAGAAAACATGTACATGTGCTGAGCTATTCTGCTCAGTAACTCAGGTTAGATCAAAGAAATACACTTTGGATTCTTTTCCTTTTTGATGTTCTGTTTTCCTCATTATTTGGGCAGAGAAACTGGTTCAGGCCGGTTCTGTGACCTGTCTCTATCTCCAAGCATAACAGTCAGTGCCATCTGTACCATACACCATCCTGTTATGTAAACCATCATCATGCACACCTTTCTTCAGTACTTCTCCTTTTAGTGCAGCATTCAAAAACAAACAGTTTAAATTGATATGGAAACTTAATACAGTGGATATATTGTAAAGATTGAATAAATGTATTTACAATAGCTTAACAAAGCCCTTTAAGGAATTTGCTTTCTTTTTGTTATTAAAGAAAACATTTAATTGGAAGACACATTTAGCCTTGTATTACACTTATTAAAGTAATCTGGAGAGCATTGAGCTTTGAAAAGGCAGTTATTAAGTAAAACACACTACTTCAAACTAAAGGTTTTTTTATACAGATTTTATTGGTGTAAAGAAAACTTAGTGCTGCATCTGAGAAAAGGAGGTGGTGGACCGAAATGGTCTCAGTTGGTTATTGCCTTTTTCAGCCTTTGACTTAAAAAAATAAAGCATTTGTTGTTTATGAGTTGCGGTACATGGAAAATCATATCTACCTCGCTGACTTCCAGTTATTTTAATTAAACTGTAATTAACAATTAACTGTTGTCAATGTATGTCTCTCTTTTCACAAACCCAGCTTGCGATAGATAATATAATATATACTGCTTATGTATAAAAATCAGCATTACCAAATTCATTGCAAGTATTTGTTCAGTTTTTGTACCAGATTCACTTCGCTCTTCTCACACAACCATGACCTTGATCCATGTTTATATGTGGGAAAGAACTCAACTCAGTAGGTGCAGTCCCTGGATTTAAATTTAAGGGGCCACAGTATATGCTATAGGTTGTCATGTCTTACATGCGGTTCCTGTGTTTGTGCACCATACTTTGCTTTTTTTAACACAACAACTTTCAGTGTGGGATCAATACATTTCTCATTATTATTATCATTTAAGAAAGCCATATTCTAAGCTGAGTTCTTGTGGTCCAGTTAAAATGATGAGGCGAGCTGTATTTGGGCCTGTATGAGGGGACCTTGGGCCAACATTTTCGGAATTATTTCTTTTTTTTTTTCTCGGTTTTGTCTTTTTAAATGAGACGTAAATCAACTAAAAACGTATCTGCCATGTCTTCAGTTATCTGTGAACTCCTCCTCAGAAGGATTATATTTACCCCAGATTGTCATAAAGTCTGGTGTTCGGCACGTTGACCTTTCCTAAATTCACCACAGTCAAATTCAGCCTTATTCGTCAATCCAGGCTCAACTGGATGTTGATCTTGCATTTCCTTGATGAACTGTTCACTCACAATAAAATGTATCCAGTAAAATGGTATACAGTTACGTTAAACATGTTTATGTGATATTGGTTATAAATGCAGCGTACATAAATACAGATACCTAAAACTACCCTAACGATGCATAAACAGAACAGGTGCTAAAAAATAGTAAATTCTCCTGTGCTGGTATTTTATGTCTGTGTATATGTGCAGACCTGTATGTAACCACCCCCCTGTCTCTTTCTCTCCTTTGTCTCCTCCCCCGTTTAGGTGAGGGAGATGCTGAAGATGCGGGATTCCAACGGAGCAAGGATGTTAACACTGATCACAGAGCAGTTCATGGCAGACCCTCGGCTGGCGCTGTGGAGACAACAGGGCACCACCATGACTGACAAGTACAGACAGCTCTGGGACGAGCTGGGTGAGGGAGAAAACACAACTGCAGACACACTCGTTCAGAGACACACTCACAGATTGTCCTACAAATGCGCATGGGGTTGGACATATTTAGCAAGGTGGCTGATGGATCCCAGACACTAAAAAGCCCAAATATTAGTATTTTTTTCATGTTTTCAAACCCTCGAAATTATGTCTTTAGTTAATTTGACACTCTGCGTCTCTTATTTGCATTTGTTTGGTTTAAAATAGTGTTTAGTTTTTTTGACAGACATATTTGTACCAATGGCAGAATTCCTTCTCGCAAACCACAAAACTTGTCAGCAGGACAGCAGCAGCCATGTTGCCTGTCTTTGTTTTGTTCCTCTAATGTCTAGGGTGATGTCGCCGCCGCCGCAGTCTCTCTCTCTCTCTCTCTCCCTCTCCCTCTCCCTCTGTGTCCCTCTCCCTCTGTGTCTCCCTCCTCTCCAACTGTTCCTCTCCTTCACACTCCCTTTTATCTTCCTCCTTTGAGTAGCAGCTACTCATCCCCTTTAGGCACAACACCTCATGCCCCATTTAGTTCTCCTCTGCCATGTCTCCTTGTCCAAATCATCTTCAGCCCCATTTCATTTTATACTTCCCCTCATTCTGGGCCTTTTGTCATCCTCTCCTTCCCTCCGTGTACATACAATCTCTGTCCTTGTCTCCGTCCTTCCTTTTAAAACCCACTATTTACACTTTTATGCATATGCTAATGCACAACACAATCTCTCTGGCACTTCCTCTCCAACAAGTGCGAGTGTACGTATCCCCAGCAGTCTCAAGAATAAAATCCCTGAATGTGCTTTCCTCCCCAGAGATGCAGCCATTTTTTATATTCAGTTTGTTCCAATTTACTCCAAAATGATGTGTGTGCAGCCAGCCTTGCTGCAGGATGAGTTAAGTTGTCTGTTTTGCAAGAGTTTTGTTGCAGCAAAGAAAAACAAGAGACAAAACGAAGATAACTAGTACAACTAGTAGATGCAGCTTTCAAGCCTGTCTGACACATGTATTGTTGTAGGGATTAAACTGTCAAAATACACATACACTCTGTTTTTTTTGCATCGTGTGTGTGTGTGTGTGCGTGCGCCCTTCCAGGTGCTCTGTGGATGTGCATCGTACTGAACCCTCACTGTAAAGCAGAGCAGAAGTCATTGTGGCTGTGCCAGCTGCGCAGATGGAACAGTGTGGACGTCTGCCCCTGGGAGGATGGTAACCATGACAATGACCTGCCCAACCTCACCCACTCACTGCCTCAGGGTGCCCATGGCAACCAAGGTCAGAATTTGACACGCTTAGTATTTGTGTCAATAACCTGGTTGTTTTGCGATACAGTATCTCACAGAGAGAGGTGCTGCATGCAACAGTTAAGCCTCTGCCTTTGTATAGGGACGAAGAGTCACTGTGGCTTCGCTGCTGTAGCATTAACACCAATAGAGTGTCATTTTCTATCTTTCGGCCTTTACTCCAGACTCTTAAAATCCTCATGGCCAATTAGGGTAAAAAACATTTTTTGTCATTTTTCCTCTCACTTTTGGGCTTGTTCCTGGTGTTATGGTCATCACGATGACATTTGAAAAATATCTCTGTCCAAATGAAAATACAAAAACTTCAAAATAAAACTGCAAAAAAAATTATATTAGACTAAATGTAGCTTCAAAAATCATCTGCTTTGACTGAAGGCCTACATTAATATCCAATATATGTCCATTTGAAATATGAATATTGAATCTTTAGATCTGGTATATGTTTTTAGGGATGTTAGTCACAGCTGTGTGTGGATGAGAGGCCAGAATAAAATATGCAAGTATTTCCAAAAATGAGTGCAGTTATGGTTTTCTGTGTAATTTTTAAAACATTTATTTTTAAATATTGTATTGTTTATTGTATTTTATTTATTTGTTCTAAAAAAATGTGTCATAATCAGAGTTTTTTCTGGCTTGTGGGTGTTTGTTGTAAGAGGATGCTGACCACTGATGTTAATCATCAAGTTCCCTTGTGCCTGTGACTAGCATTGAACAGAAAGGGAAAATAGAACATTGTTCTTATTAAGTACAGGGGAGAAATAAAAATATTTAAATTACCAACACTGTTAAAGTCTTTAGGATCCAACAAAACTACCAAGTCTCCCGTTACGGTGTGTTTCCATCGAACACTTTCAATCTGACAGACATCGTTTTCTCTCTCTCTCTCTTCTTCTAAGTGATGGTCATCTTTATTTACAGCGATTATGCAAATGTAAATAAAAAACTTGGACCATACTAGTTTTTCTTTTTTCACATGATAAAAAAAAAATAACATCCTCCTGCTGGGTCTTTTGCAGAGATGCGTCCCCATAGGACTGTGTTCACTCGAGCCATCGAGGCCTGTGACCTGCACTGGCAGGACCGACACCTTCAGCACATTATCGCCAGTGACCTTTATGCCAACTACTGTTACCATGACAACCAGGAGAGTTCATTGTTTGACTCACGCGGCTGGCCCCTGTGGCACGGTGGGTATACTCCACATATGTAAGAATTTTGTTATTCAATGTGAGACACAGGTGACAGACGTGTGCCTTGGTCCAATCAGCTGACATTCAGCTGATCACAAAGCTGTCATCTAGACAACAATCGCAGCTCACTACTTCCTGCCAAAACTCTGCCTTCAGCAGACAGCCATGTTATTAACCAGGCTAACTGAGCACAACAAGCTCAGAAACCTGTCTCACTAATTTAAGATTCACAACTTTGTATCTCTTTAACATTTAACACAGGCTGCCTCTAAAAGAAAATGAGGTATAGAGAGCGAAAGAAGGGAGTTGTTCGGGATGGCTCGACTCAATACCCAGGATCGATTTTGGTCTGATATTGGTCAAACATTTAGCATGAGATATTGAAAAAAAAACCCAAAACAATTATAGCGTGTCGAACAGATACCAAAGACCAGATGCTCAACTTGATTTGATCGACATGCCATAAACAGGGACACTACTGCCTCATCAGTCTCTCCAAGATGGAGCAGCAATTAATTTATAATCCAAATACAAAAAATAGTAATTCTTCTTATCTTCACCTTTCCTTCAGAGCATGTCCCAACAGCCTGTGCCAGGGTGGATGCTCTGCGGTCACATGGTTACCCAAAGGAAGCCCTCCGATTGGCCATCGCTGTGGTGAACACGTTACGGCGGCAACAGCAGAGGCAGCTGGAGCACTTTCGGCGACACAAGAAAGGTCATTTTTACTTATTATTTTAACTTGTACATTCATTCTCTGATACAGTATATTTTGCATCAGTTAAAAGGTTGCATGTTTGTACTGCTTGCTTTCATTATTGCAGAGCAATCAAATAATATTTGCATATTTTCCACCTCAGAGTTGCTACAGAAAGGGCACACCTCCATAACAAACATGGAGGGCTGGGTGGGACACCCTCTGGATCCTATCGGTACCTTGTTCTGTACACTGACGGAGTCAGGGCGAGCAGGAGAAGAAGGCTCTAACACCTGCTTAGACCTCTCCGGTACTGAACAGCGAGATATGAACCACATTAGTAGTTTTGTGTGTCCCTGCTCCTAGAAATAGCTGTTTCTGTGGCGAGTGAGAGGGCAGAACCCCCGTGGCACTGATCTTTATTCAGATTGGTGTTGGATTCAGATCTCTGCAATGATCCTGTGGTTTTTCACCTGAGACCGTGTCCTCATCTCATTTATTCTCCCCAGACTGCTCCAGCGTCGTAAGCCGAGCAGAACTCCAACGGATGCCTGTGCAGCGATTACTGGGAGATGGTGAATCCTATGTGGCGCTGGCAGTGGAGACTGCTTTGATTGGCTTGGGCCAGCAGCGGGTGATGCCTGACGGCCTGTACGCTCAGGAGAAAGTGTGTCGCAACGAGGAGCAGCTACTGGCCAAGCTGCCAGAA